TTTTCCTCTCAGAATCTACTGTATTTTGGATCAACAGATATGGATTAATACTTCCCAATGAATAGGAAGCCAGAGAAGTACATGGAAAGAGTCCGGGTTGGCAACAGTGATTATAACTGGGGTTTGAGCAACATTGAGGTAACAGGTTATTTTGCTTCTCTTCTGATATAGTTCACATGGCAATGTTCGTGTCCGTCGTGCAATTACAGCCGGAGATAGTATACCGGCTAGTTTAATTGAATTTCCCATGGCACCAACTTTCACATGTGCCATTCCTTTCTTTCAATTAATCTTGCCTGGTCTTGTATTGTTTAATTTTATATTGTGCATGTCATGTAATGTCTCCTGTCGAGTATTGTTATTGTAGCTGTCTTGTGTCTCGTATGTTGTAAGTATATCTAGTATTCAGGCTTGCTGTAACATTGCTCGTTTTAATTGAAGTTATTATTGCGCCTATCTGCAGTCATTTGATTTCACCAAATGCAAGTGAACTAAAAATCCTGCAAGTTACTCAATCTATTTGGATTTTATTTGTAACCATGGAAAATCATTTTATAAGAAGGAAGGCTTAGCTGCTCTATTTTCACACATCGGTATTTACATGTAACATGCGCAAGTCATTGAAGTGTTGTCTTTTTCTAAGATTGAGGGCACTCATTTACTGTTTATTTGGGACTGCAAGCAAACATATTGAAAGTTTGAAGCAACCACTAACTTTCATTTCAATTCGAAATTATTTACCATTGTAAATAAAGCTCTTTGAACTTAAAAATCATTCCATCGCCCATTTGAATTGTTGAATTATGATACTGTACTTTATAAACTGCTTGTATAACAATGGTCGCTGCAAAATTAATTATGAAAAACTAGTCTAAGAGCAAAATGTGCTCCATAGTCCAAAGATAATATTATATGTTTGAAGATTTTTTTTAATACGGGAATATTGTGACCTGTTGAAGTGCTTTGGATGGTTCAGAACTCCCATGTTCACCAGCGTACCTTCAATTTCAATTCAATTCGATCACAAATATACTTACAAATTTACAGTGTCACAAAGATCGTCAACACCTTCCAAATCACTAAATAGAGAAAATCCATTTTAAAACTTCCATTTACTTTCAAAGTACCTTACCATACATTCAGAAGCCTCCAGCTTCATACATCACTCCTTCTACCTCTTCTACATTGTTAATGTACTTTTTTCTTAAATGTCTTAATGTTTTTCTCCTACTCTTGACTGTCTCTTTGGATTTCTTAGCAGATAAACTGAGAACCTTGGCAGGTGAACATCCCAGGCTTTATGTCCAGGTCTTCAAATATTTTCAAATAGGAGATTTCTCCATCATTAAACTTAAGCACTGCTAAATTAATAGATCTGGCCAGGTTGTTGACATTCAAATTCTTTCTCACAGCAAGACCATAATAATTTTGCAACACATCTATCTTCCCATCGGTCAATCTTCTCTTACTGCCTAACCCTTTCCCATCACTTCGCTTTATACCTTTACTCGAATTCTTCAACTTTCACAATCTACTTCCGACTCACTTTTGTTCATGACCTATGCACTGAAGCTTGTTTGGAATGCACTCCCCACCATAGGGCTTGCTTTCTACAATGTTATTGTATGTGGTAGAATCACCATCACCAAGCATGTTCTTGTATTTAAATCCCCGTGAAATGTAGGATCTTTGAAAAATCCGCCAGGCACCAGCTGCCTCCATGCTGTTCGAGCTTCCAGTATGGTTAATTTTGAACTGGTGGTTAGCTTTCCTCTCTGGGTATTTAAGGTCATGCCTTGCACTTATCTGACATGATTTCTGCATCCAGATATTTCTTTGTGTCTAATGATATGGCAGTGACGACACCATTGTGCGAAGTATGGCCTCGTCTTTGCCAACTTCCATCGAGGAAGATTCCACACTCTCCCATATTATTACCACTAACTTTTTGACATTTGTGGCCTTGGTCACCATGCTGTCATTTGCCAATTGTTTCACAAAAGGCATTAGTTTATTGTTTTGAATCTTCATGAAGTTACCGCCAGTTTTTGGTGATGACATGTTCATGACTTTAGTGAATGTCACCATGGCACTGTGTCCACGACCAATTTCCCTGAATGCCAAGACTGCTCTTGTGTTTACATTGTATGAGCGCCCTTGCTTTCGAGATGTGTGAAAGCAATGCTTCCAGTCACATTCAGGATTGTTGCATTGTACGATAATATATTGCGAAAAGCATTTTTTTTCTTCATGTCAACGTGAGATGTTATATGGTTACAACAGTCAGGGCATCTCAGTACTGTACTTCATCAAACACATACATGAATATGGTGCCTTCTTAACCGAGTCACTATCACCAGAATTCTCACCAAATTTGCCATGTGAATCAGCAAGTGTTGTCTGGGAAGCCCCATGTTTTGAGAAGATGGTTGGCCGCCATCTTTGAATTTCTTGCTTCTTTTTGATGATGGAATTCTCTTCTTTTTTCTCTTTCTATTTTGCGGATTTTCCATTATTATGTCAAAAATTATTTAAAAAAGATGACAAAGTAAAAGAAATTTAAAAAAAACGGCAGTTAAGTCCTCAATAAATACGAAGAAATCACAGAGTATTCGCTAGCATTGCTAAGGGGAACATATTTCACCACGGCCATTTTAAAACATTTTTCGCTATCAAAACCAAACAAATCAACTAAAATAATAGCAGATTCTGAAAGTTCAATACTTGAAATATCTAAAATACTGAAAACCAAAATCATTGAAAAGGTATATAACCACCTTAGACAGCCGTAAACACCTAGTATGTAGAACTCCATTATAAAGGCTGTTGCTCGACAAAAGCTTTTTGTATCCTGCTTGAAACGACACCAACTGTAATGACCATCGCGAAAAAGAGTATGAAGATTTCTTCTTTCAGATGATTTCTTCTTTCTGAAGAAGCAGTATGAAACAGACTTGCACGTACTCCTTCTCTCATACCCTCCAGGTCCCCAGAATTATTTCTGATGGAAATGCCGTAATAATAATTCTGAAGCATGTCAATAAAGCAGTCTGTCTTCGATTTTTTCAGTGCCGTTCCAACTCGCTTCTTGACTTGACCAACACATTTTTTCTTCACAACTTCAACATTATTCCCATAAATGTTTTGAACTTCATTTAACGCTTTGCTATCACCATCGCCAAATACTCTGTGTAGTGTAATTTGTGAGCCGCTTCACTACGTTCAAAGATTAGCTTCACTCCCTCGGTCTCCATTGACGGTGCTGAACCTGAATAGTTTGTTTTGCATTTTTCTATATGCTCAGCTTTACGCAATGCCTTTTTCCCCTCATCTGTCTCTCTACAAAAACTCGACATCAAGGCATTTACCCGTTTCCATTGAAATGGTAGTAACACAACCAGGTAACGACGAATATCCCCGCCTTTGCCAAGTTCCGTCACAGGAACACCGCACTGGAGAGCTTTGTCATAATTGCCATTGTGTAACTCTTTACCAGCATTCCCCATCACAGCAGTGGCCACAGTCTTGGCTGCTTTCGACAAGGCATCATTACAAGCCGAATAAGCGAAGGTTTCAGCTGTGGGGCATGTTCATTAGGGAACAGAAACTTCTTTCAGAAGCTTCTCCATGTCATGTTCAAGACTAAGACTGGATTCTCCACATAACTTACATGTCATGACATTTACTAGAAAAGTTCATTCAGTATTTTCACATCAGTGAAACGATAACCAGTTATTTTAGGTTGTTCATCTGTTGAACTGTTGCTGGTAGCATCAAAGTTGCAAGATTGATCTATTTTTCTCTCTGAAGCAGAGATTTTAGCAACCGACTCACGAGAAACACCTGGTTGCTCGTTACTGTCATCACAAGGTTTCTTTGCATAATTTAAGTGCCAATTCCCATGGAATTTTCTCTTTCTCCACTTCGATCCTTTCCTTACCATTTTCCAAAGACAATTAGTCCACAAAGAGAAGTAAATTCTGCGAAAAAATACAAACACAGCGACCAAAAGTCATTAAAAATTTCACTGCTTCGACACAAATATGGCTTCGAATTTTTATTTGAAAAAACATGACATGCAAATACTTCAATACAGTATACTTGAAAGGGAGGTGTAAAAACTGATCTAAATACATAATTATATATTCAAACTTTAGAACGCTTTTAAACAGGAAAACATCTGGTTGCTATGGGTGTTGCTAAGTGTAAATTTATGGAATTTGCTAAATTTTCAGGTATTTTTGAGAAATAAAATGATACAAATACAAATATGATTAAGGATCTATTTTTTCTTGAACATATATTAAGCAGAAATGTTCTTATAGACCAGTAGGACAGTTTTACTTAATATATGTTCACGAAGATCCTTCATGTTCAAAACTTAACAAATCTTGTATCATTCTCAGTGAGCGTGGACCACAATTTTTTCGCGCTAGTTTAGAGTACACAAGCTCAACGAACGATTCAATTCCTCATTCACAGGTTTCCACTGCTTCATTCACTAAGTTAATTTTTTGGACAACGGGCGACCTCTCCGGAGGTTTCCTTAAATATACATAGAAAATATACAAAGAAAAGGATGTTAATATTTTGAACCAAACTTTAATAATGTAAAACTTTAACCCTGAAAAACATGCAATCTAACCTTATAATGTCAAAATTTACCTAATCTATATACGCTAACCCTAAAAACCTTTAACCTAACCTTATAATATTTACATTTATATACATATGTACACTAGCGGAAATGTTTCGCATCTCGGTCAGCTTTCCGTCTAATTGTCTTAAATCTTCTCCTGCAGTTGTTTTTCGCTGAAGCATGTGCCAATCATGTGTTCCTTTTAAAATGGCATCAAGACACTGTTTACCCGACGCATTGCGAGGCAGGGATGAGAACGCTTCCTCGATTATCATGGTTTGGAAGTCGGTAAACAACCTACCACCACCCGAGCTGCTTGCGGAGTAGGTGTCTACCTTTTTTTAGTCGGAACTGACCCAACCTCTCGCCTTCTCGACTCCTGATATGGCAGTTTTCCTACTTGCGAGGTACTTGATGGCCAAATCTGCATCCACACCTCTCAAGAGGGGGTCATGTGAAATCTTTGTCAGTTTGTCTGGACCAGGTGCTGATGGATGGCTCTCCCACTTTTCAAGTCTTCTTCCGAGGTGGATACCAGATGTATTCTCTGCGCAAGGGTCAAGCGGTCTATTGACCATTCAGAATCTGAACCGTCCGACTCTATTCTAGTCTTGGTCTGCGAACGTTTTCTCTGGAAAGATAAATAAAAACACACGAGAACATTTCTTCTAATTATAATTGATTGATTTGGGCTGTGTGTTAAAAATGATATTCCGACTGATGTGAAAAGTACATTTGAGATAACAAGTTCAAACCTTTTTGCACTTTTCCTTCTCTTCATCCTTACTCTCCTCCATATCAAACTTTGGCCCTATAAACGCGAACATTTGAATATGCTAGTATCCATCCAGTGCCTCGAACTGCAATTACGCGCGCATTCTCTATTAAATATGGCAGACAGACCACAGCGCACATTGCTTTCACTTAAAGTATTGATTCGTTTGAAAATCCACTTCTAACACAAATAATCAAGTGTTCTTTCTCTGATTCTAAATACATACAAGCTGGTTATTAAAAAAGATCATCTTCGTCAGGTCTCGTATTTTCAACCTATTTGTCTGTATTTAGAAATCAGAGGAAGAACACTTTAGAACAAATACGTAATATGTATAATTCGACTATGCTATGAATACCAGAAAAAATACTAAAATCTGCAGCAATTCCGCAAGTCAACTTGTAAAATAATGAATATATTCTTACTTGCTTATATGATGTACGAACGAAGGCAGAGCTTCAATCGAAAATATTTCTCCAGTATTCGGTCTTACTGCTTCAGCTAACGTAGTAGCTATCGAGGATACTAACCGCAAAATATAACCTAGGCCCAAACTCATTTTGACGGATTTATTTCACCAAAAACTACACCATACTTCAGACCAAAATTCAGCAAATTTCACGAAGTGTTTGATTATGGCGGTGTCCGGCGTCATACGCATGCGCAAATGGGATCTAGAGCCTGTTCGCCTGAGGCGATGACGATGTAAATTACTATTAAATATATGCGCAACCGCCTCTAAACACACCAAAAGTGACGGGCTTTGTTTTAATTTTTTGCTCGGTAAAACACATTTAAAGGACGTCTGAAGGCCTATATTTTATGATTTTAGAGGTGTCTGAGCGCAATTCTTTGTGGATAAGAAACAAGAGGGAGAAAAGTTCAAAATGTTGCCTTATTTTGGGGCAAATATTGTGAAATATGAAGTCGTGAAATTCGAAACTACTTTTTGTATTGCGAAAGTTTGATATGTCCATCACTCTACTTGGGCGTCTTTCCCTGGAAAGATAAAAAAAAAACACATGAGGACAATTCTTCTAATTATAATTGATAGATTTGGACTGTATGTTAAAATGATTAAAATGGCAAATTTCACTCAACACCACACTTTGCGTTGTGTAAGACCACCTTAAGGAACAGACGGTAAGCAAAATTCGGTCTTTGAGAAAATGACCGTTAAAGTTAATGCACGGGTACAATGTACCTGTCTGTCCAAACTCAACACTTAACAGTGTAAGAATGCCAAATAGTCACTTTTGTTGTTTGCTGCTGATGAGAACTGACAATGGTGCATCATCACTGTCCTCAGATTCATTATTAGCCAAACGTCTAGCTAATGTATAGTCACCACCATCATCGTCATCAGATGATAAAGCGTCAAAGGGGTCAACTTCATTAAAAATACCATTGGCATAGGATGTTTAACTTTGGTTTGTTGCAAGCTTAGCTTGCCTTCTTTTCCTCCTCCTTTCGTTCAGTTTTGTCTTTGTCTTTCTTATCGAATGCCACAACCTATTCTCGACATCTTTTGCTGTCAGTGGCGTAGCTAGCGGTCCTGCTTGTCCTGCCCAGCAGGACTAAAAATTTCCCAAAATTTCCTTGCTAAAACATTACTTTATTTATCTTGAAGCTTTAAAAATTTATTATTATCATATTGTTATTTTGTATCATTTTCTCGTCTTTTTTGTTATTATTTTTTAAAAGTTTTCCGTATTCCATTACATTTACGCAATTTTACAGCTTACCGTCCCTGTTACCTAGCAACTACAACTCTACAAAAGCTCATTTCCGGGCAATATAGTGATTTACACACGCTCGTGTTTCGGTCCTGCCATTTTCAAATGGCAGGACTTGCTAGTATATTTCATAGTAACTTCATACAAGAAATCTTGCTTTCTGATTGGATAATTAGGTCTGCGCATGCTCAAACTGGCTGTTTACAAATACGAAGTCCTGCTCTCTCGAAATGGCAGGACTTGGCCTTGCATTGTCTTTTCTTGCGAGCTTTCCGCGTGATTAAACCCGCTTTTTACTAACTCTGTCAAGATTACTCAAGTGATGAATATGGAAATCAACCAGCGTGGAAGCCCATTGTGATTTGGATATAATTTCTGGCTTCTGCTAAGATATTTTAGCTCACGAAATGCATGTCAACAGAATCGATTGTGTATTTTGTGTCGTATTCATATAACGTATGAACGTATTATTTGCCAGTTCATCTGCTTTATGCATTGCATGAAACACGAGCGCTTATATGGAGTTTAAAAATGATATAGCTACCAATTTAGATTTACAAAGTTTATGACTGTTATTTATGTAGATATTTGGCCGTATTTTAATACACTATATTTACTTTAAACGCTACGGCAATTTTATTATTAAATACCATAGCCATAGCCCATAGGCATAGCGTACTGAATTATACAATCAGAGTGCCAAGCGTAGTGGTCCGTAGTTGATACCACTCAGTTTAATAACGTACTAATAACAAACTAAGTAATTTTCATACTAACAAACGTAGTAATTTTTTAACGAATGCTAGGATTGCTAACCGTATATATAGTGTTGTATGTTCAACAGTGACTACAACAATTGTTGAGTTACGCAATTGCACGTTGACCAAGTGAAAGATCATATTACAGACGTGTATTGAAAACATGATATTCTCCTCTTACATGAATTGACTATATTTAGCTAAATTTTTAAGTTGAAAAATATATATAGTGAAATATGATAAATATGGAAATACGATTTCAAAAAGTTACAAATTTTTTTTCTAAAAAAATATAAAAAATTTTCCACTAAATCACACAATGTTTTGATGTTCTCTTTGGAGTATTTCGCCGTGAAATCGCAGGAAATGGCCATTCCAGACTTCTAAAATTATAAATTTTCCGGGGGAGCATGCCCCAGACCCCACTAGATTATGTGGGTCTTAGAGCAGGACCTTTCGAATTTCGCTAGCTACGCCACTGCCCATCAGACATCCCACCATTTCCTCTATCATCTGTTCCTCTGTATTTTGCTAAAACATAAGATATATTAGAATATAAAGAATATAAGTGCAAAAATAACCTTCCTATAATTTACCTCATTATCCTCCCCCGCGGCAACTTCCATAATCTCAGCGTTTCCCCCCACCTAAAGATATAAGAAAAAATATTAAGGATAAGAAATATATTAACAATTTAATACGTGTGAATTATACCTGATTAACTCGTTCCTCAATTTGACGAAACACATCCGCAAACAGATCCAACAACAAGACATAACTTTCTTGACTAATTTTTACCAAATATTCCACGAATTCTTGGATCATTTTACTCGTGTCACCAGAGGAAACAAAGCACTTGGGTTCGGTGTAGCCAGGGACGTTCGAACATACAGAGACACTCAACGGAATATGTTCGGCTTGCCACGTGAGTTTTTCGGTGTTTCTTGAACGGTTAGATGTATGTTTAAAATAACATTCAAAGTCGAAGGTGACGCGATAAGGGAAGTACTTGAGGTCTTCAGGGATTTCGATTCCTTCATCGGCCAACAAGTCGAAGATAGATTGTGGAACTTTGTAGGCACCACCAGGGAAGATATGACGTATACTTCCATCACAGGTTCGCTCGTGCTTGTTCAAGGCTTTGGCCGTTTTCCACATTTTGTCACATTTGCAACAACAGTAGGACTTGGAATACATGGCCAAATTCTTAATATAACTGAAATGGCTGCCGTAGAGGTTCAGATACATCGAATTGGCATATCTACGGTGGGAGCGCTGTATGAGTTGAGCCACAATGGAGGTCTTGTCTTCGTCCTCGTCATGTAACTCTGTAAGGCGATACACATAAATGTTCAGTTCGAATAACTTTTCCAGTTCAGGTAGTTCCTCTAGTGTAACACCGTCAAAATCGTCATCTTCCGAATATTGTTCATAGAAGTGGTGAGTATCACGTTCCAAATTATGGGGATGACAACCACGGTGTAGGGCCAAACAACGGAAGAAACAAAGTTTGTCTTAGTATGGTAGTCCCGTTTGCTCATTACAGTCGAGCGAAACGATGGCGCGGCTCTCCAGTACGTATTTGGGTAGTCGGACACTGCGACCTATGGGATGGTCTCGAAGTTTGGTGACGTAGAAGGTAACGTTGGTGAAATCCATGACAATCCATTTGGAGTTGGGACGCTGTTGTCGAGCCCATTCATGAATGTCGATGTTTTCCAATGCTGTACGCACTTGGACCAAATCCTCGCGATTATGGATCTGGAATGGGTAGTCGAAGACACGGTTGTTATTTGCTGAGGGGTGGTGGTATTGCATTTGTTGCGTCTCGTTGTTAAACAATACGAAACCAAAGGAGAGATTTAACTTAAAGACCGGGGTTTGATCTTCAAATATACGGTCTATATCGTTGACAAGTTGACCCATATTCGCTGAGCTTAGACGATAGTTGTACCAATCTTGCACTCGGTTGCCTCGGCTTTGTCGCGTACGTATAGCACGCCAATCATCTCGGTGAAGTTGGGAAGGCAGGTTAGATGGGGGTAATAGGGGGTCTTGAGGGAACGGTTGGGGTCCTATAGAAATAACACCCGATTCTTTATTTTTGTCTAGAGCTTCGCACTAATTTTGTCATACAAACACCCGATTCATAAAAAATCGACATAAGTCTAACATGAATAAATTAGTAACATGCAAATTTCACATAGCAACATGATAAACCCACGCTATAAAAATTACTTGATTATTTTTTACCTCACTATAAAACGCTAGCGAATGTTATAAAAATGATGTAGCGTAAATGTTCGTACAATGATATAAATTAATAGTTCTAAAGCAAATGAACATAAGTCTAATATGAATAATTAGGAAAATGCAAATTTCACACTATAAACCCACGCTTAAAAATTACTCGATTATTTTTTATCAGGTTTTCAAAACACAAACATCAGTGAAACAACATGAAAATATTCTTCAAATGTAAACGTTAGGATCTCAAAGTCCTTCTCCGGGCAATGTTTTAAAGCCGAGTAATTAACATTATATTGATATACACAGCAAATCACCACAATCAATATACTATATACGGTATAAAAATTGAATTTCATACCTTCGTTGACGACTGCACTGTAGAAGTGGAAGCTCCTGAAAAGGAGAAAAAATGTATTAGTGTGATTTTAACTCAAATTATTACACAGAATATACTCTCTTACCTTCGTTCACCGATGTCGAAGGTCTTGGCGGTTCTTAAAAGAGAAAAAAATATCTGTATAAATACAAAGTTAGTAATCGAAATATTTTCATTTATACATACCTGGTTCATCATTTCTTTGTCTCTTCGTTCGCCCGGTCGACGTCTTCGTACGTTTCCCACGGCCAACTTGATGGACATCATGTTGATGGGCTTGGAATGGGAATATGTTTCGAAACACCTCACCACACTCACCACATGTATATTCCCTTTCGGCACCACGTTTCTCGTGCGTCTTGATGTGGTCGTTTAATTTGTCCTTAAAGGAAAAGCTTGCAATATCAAATAGAATCGAAATAATTCACAATAGTCCTGTAATATCAACCTACCTTGCGATTAAATTTCTTATGACATCTATGACATTCCAATGACTTCTCCTTGTGGATTTTTTCATGTCGTTTCAACTTGTTACGAGACGCAAAATCTTTACCACATTCTATACATTTAAATGGTCGTTCTCCAGTGTGTATTCGTCTAGTATGGCGCTTTAGGTCGTTGGACCGTGTAAACGTTTTGCCACATTCAGAACAACATAACCCCGACTTCTCCGATTCGTTTTGCCAGTCGTTCCATTCAGCCAGAATTTGCTCCTGAGTTTCGGGTGACCAAGAAAAAGTGTCCACGGCACAAAGCTGGCGATTGACCTCGTCATTTTCCAGTTCGCTCATAAATTGATCTCTCCTACAAAATATAGAAGTCAATTACATACACAAAACTCTGGATATTATATTAATTTTCAGTTTAAATTAAACTTACCCAATATTCTCTAGATGTCGTTGTGCCATTC